CTGCCACTAATTATTATCAAAATAATTGCCGATTATTATAAGATAAAATAATAGATCCACAGTAGGAGCCCGGTCCCTCTTTCTTCTGCTTTGTTTCGTATTGTTGCCAATTATTTAGTTAGAACTAGAATCAACGCATCCTTTTATATATTATTCTTGGGTATATTAGTTTAGATTTATATTATGTGTGTTCAATACTTTAAGCTCGATATCATATACACACACATTTTAGTTTTGGTTTCTATGTATATAAAGTTTTATATATACATACAAGTTTTTAGTTTCTATGCATATATATATATATATATTCGCACACTAACGTGCGAAAAGATTCTCAGCCATTTGATTTTAACGAACGGAGGTCATTAAAACCCTATTCCCAATGTACTCCATAACGAACGGAGGTCATTAAAACCCTATTCCCAATGTACTCCACAGCCCCATGCTCTCTGCCCCCAAAAACGAACCTCCCTCTCTCTCCCCATTCCGTCTCCTCCTCCCTCTCTCTCCCCATTCCGTCGCCTCCTCCCCCTCCTCCCGTCCCAAGACCGTCGAAGACCGCCTCCTCCCTCTACCTCTTCTCGTTCGTGACCATCCCGTCCCAGGACCCCGACCCCAGCTCCGGTTCCGCCCCCGACCCCAGCGAACACCCCTACGGCAGCTCCGTTTCCGACGCCGACCCCAGCGAACACCCCGACGGCAGCGAACACCCCGACCCCAGCTCCGGTTAATCCTTGAGTTTACTGTTGTTTTGATGCTGTAATTGATCTGATTGTGCTGTAATTGAGAAAGGAAGTTAATAAAAATTTTTGCTTGGTTTAGGGCTTTTTTATGTTGAAATTTTGATGTTTTAGGGAAATTTTGAAATTTTGTCAAAATAAAGACTACTCTAAAGAATAAAATGTTCAGATCCTAAAATGTTCAGAATTTTAATTGTAGTCTTTATTGTCTTAAACTTACTTTTATTGCCACTAGTTTCATTGTCTTAAACTTACTCAATTTTGGCTTTTTTAAGTTTCATTGTCCTAAAATGTTCCGATCCTAAAATAAAGACTCCTCAATTTTGGCTTTTTTAAGTTTCATTGTCCTAAAATGTTCCGATCCTCCTGAAAATTTTCCACTGTGCAATGTTCAAAATAAAGACTACTTTTATTGTCTTAAACTTACTGCCACTAGTTTCATTGTTGCTGTAAAATTGGATTTTTGAATAACTGTTTGTTGTTGATGTTTATTTTTGTAGGTAAAAATTATTCTTGACGTTTGTTCTTGATGTCTGATCCAATGGAAACTGAAGATGGTTGCTCCCATGTTGTTGATGAAGAGGGCTATACTCTCCAGATCTGGAACTAAGACGAACCCTGGTCGCTTGTTTTGGGGATGCGCTAATTGAAAAGTGAGAAATTGTGGATTCTTCAAATGAGTGTCTGATGAAGAGGAGTTTGAAGGTTCAAAGGCAAGGCTTGTTCAGACAAGGCAAGTTTCAAGTGCCGTGTCAATTGGAGAAGTTCGGGAAAAGAGAAAGATTGAAATTGATATTATGGAATTGTTGAAACTTGTTGTATTTGTTCTTTTATTCGGTATTTTTATTGGATTTGTGCTAAGTAGGGTGTAAGATATAATCACCATGTGAATACATGTTGTATATTGTTGAAATTTGATATCATGCTTCTTTAATCTTGGACTGATAAACTATTTCGAAACTCAGAAGTATTGTATGTGAACCTGTGAATATGTGTTGTATATTGTTTTCTATCTCTGGTATCCCTCAGCTGTTATCAAAGTTTACTATCAGCAAGATTCAGTAGTAAGAATTTAGTGTTAGTGTTTGTAGTAGTTTAGTGTGTATATATTATGGGATGAAGTGGATATGTTTGTACAAATTGGCGCTATGCCTCGAGTTTTTACGGTTCTTGTATGTGTAACTGTGTGGAAATGTATTGCCAAAAGCTTAAGTTTACAGCTCTTTCATTAGCTTAAGTTTACAGCTCTTTCATTAGTTGAGACTACTGCAAGATTGTTTGAGATCAACCATTGCTACAGTATCATTCCTTTTGCATCTGTTTATAACCACACAGGAGCATGTTTTTTTGGGAAATATTCTCCTATTTTTGGTTAGTTGCTGTTTTCAGAGTGTAGAATCATGGCTGCTTGTATATAAGAGATGGAAAGGCAAGGTTTTACTCCGAATTTAAGTCTATATGGGTACATTTTCTTTTCTGGCACATATCATATGAGTGCCTGTTTTTTTTCTGTCATACTGATTTCAATTTTTAGATTTTGAGTGAATTTTTCAGAGTGTAGAATCATGGCTGCTTGTATATAAGAGATGGAAAGGCAAGGTTTTACTCCGAATTTAAGTCTATATGGGTACATTTTCTTTTCTGGCACATATCATATGAGTGCCTGTTTTTTTTGTCATACTGATTTCAATTTTTAGATTTTGAGTGAATGGGATTTGGTATGTTTGAAGACGGAAGTATGTTCAAAATTGTAAGTCCTTGGACTGCATCACTCTGTCAATTGGGAATTTGAATTTATGTGCAGAAAGTAAATGATGCAGAAAGTAGATGATGCAGCAAACATTTTCTCAGATGATACAGAGTGATATCAACAGGAATTTGAATTTATGTGCAACCATCTTCCGGTCTCCCTAACAAGAATACATACTTGTCTTAAGATAGCAACCATCTATAATGATCAAATGCTCTTGTTTCTTCACTGATGACTAGCAAAAAAATATTACACCAAGTTGATAACTATCAGAAACATTACAGAACTATCAGAACTATTACAGAACTATCACAAACATTACAGAACTATCAGAAACATTTAGTAGGAAACAGCAGCGGCCTCAGCGGTGATCAAATGCTCTTGGGGTCGCCGGACTGCTTTCTTGGGGTCGCGTATCTCCGCTGCCCATTTACCCCATAGCTGCATATATACAATAATATTTACAAATAAAAAACTACTTATATATATTTGCAAGCAGGAAAATGAAATCTTAAGGACTCAACAGTATAAACAGATACTTTATAAAACAAAACGAATCAAATGTCTTTAAACCTGTAAACAGTTCATTCACAACTGAAGAAACAAACCACAATCACATGCACCTGTAGCATATAATTGTACCTGTAGCATTTTAAGTAGTATTCGGTTCATAAACTATATATAATTGTACCTGTAGCATTTTAAACTTCATCAATATTATCTTGTAAATCACATTACCATCCTCAAAGGAATCCTCTAAATCATCAGTGGCTTCATCAATATTATCTTGTTCCATTGAATCACTACAAAAAAGTGATGATAGCAAAATATATTAAAAGATCATTGCACCAACTTAAAATAGTTTAAAAAAATAATAGCATTAGTATTACTCTCATAAATGATACACTACCTTGACAACTTTAGAGGGCAATTTCTGCTATCATGATTTTGTCCTCGCTTTCCACACAATTTGCATTTCCTCGGCTTGCATTTGCGGATCTCTCTCGATGGCTTTAACCTCTTCCCTTTAGGCCTTCCTTTTGTTCTTGCTTGACTTGGTTCATGAACTACATCTTGAGAACACTCCGCATTCATATAATGTCCTTCCACATCTTGTCCAATTTCTTCATCATTGATGAGTTTCAAACGTTGCACCTTATTAATAGCATCCATCATCATTTCACGCATTAATTCATATGCATCATTAGAAGATAGCCCCTCTTCGACCATTTCATTAGCTAAGCAATTTAGTTCACTAAAACGAGAAGCAAAATTAATTGTGGCATTATCTCCAATAATATTACCATCTCTAAGAACAACCCTTTTTCTCACATTTCGGCACCATCTTCTTAGAATATATTGCTCCGGTAACTCACTATGATTGGTAATTTTAAGATATGCCAAGATATGTCGGCATGGAATGCCCTTGAATTCAAACATGAGACACGAACAACGGACCATTTTAGTTGTTTTGCAATATATAATATGTCTCAATCTTTCATCATGACCACAAAAATTCAATTGGAAAGTACTTTCTCTTTCATTTTCTTTTACAAGCTCAATGTTATACATTAAGCTAGGTTGAAGCTCGTCTTGAAAAATATAAAAGATTTTTTTCGTGTAGATTTGGGCCATTTGTTTTTCCATTGACCATAAAGTCTTTAATTTTGGCTTTTTCTCTACTGTGCAATGATCTTCTTTAAGCTCCCCCTCTCTTTGTCTCGCCAAGACCCTCTGAAATATGGTCACGAAATCATGAAGTGAATTTTTCCTTGATATATGTTTTTTTAGCAATGCATTCATCCCTTCACTTCTTTGACTGCTAGACATTCCAGCCCAAAAGTATTGTTTATGATAAACCGGAGCCCATTTTTCATGAATTTCATAGATATCCTTTAGTCAATCATGCGTTTCCAATCCATTTTTCTTAAGAATTGAAACCCAATTCTCTTCAAAAGAGCTAGCAGTCTCGGAGTCCCAAATAATTTCTTTGAAAGATTTCATAAATTCTGTACTATAAGCCCATTTACCCAACTTCTCCGGGACTTTGTCCAAGATATGCCAAATGCCAAATACAAAACCTGTGCCGAATTTCTGGAAAAACTGTTTCAATTGCCTTGCATATGCCAAGACATTGATCTGTAATCATGCCCGAAGGAGGATGACCCATTGCTTCAATCCATTTGTTAAACAACCATACGAAAGATTTCGCCTCTTCATTTGGGATCAAGCCACATCCTAAAAAAATACTTTGCCAATGGTGATTTATGCCTACAAACGGCACAAATACCAATCCATATTGATTTGTGTTATGCGTGGCATCGAAGGAGACAACATCGCCAAAGTATTGATAATTCAGTCTAGCAATGCCATCCACCCAAAAACAATGAGTTAGGCGCTTCTCTTCATCAACTTCATAAACATAATAAAATGAAGGATTCTTCTCTTGTTCCGACTTGAAATGATCCAACATCATTTGTGCATCATGACCGCGCCTCTCCTCTCTCAAATATCTTTCATAATTTCTCACATCAGTCTCAATGCATCCAACTCTATGAAAACCTCTGCTAGCGTTTTCAAAGTAGGCCATTTGCTTGTTTGTTGGAATGTTCACCTCTCCAAACTGCTTTATCAATGTCTTTTTTGCACTTGTTACCTCACGGTTTCCCCTTAGAAAATGTGTTCTACTCGGTGAAGTAATTGTATGATTATGTTCTTCCACGAACTTGTAGACACTCCATTTGCCAATGTTTTTGTCTAATTTCAAGCGAATCAAGGCCTTATAATTAGTTCTAATTGTACCACATCGTCGAATTTCCAACGATTTGCTCTTTAACACTCCTTCTTTCGAACAAACATAACTTTTACAGATTAACTCTCTATCCTTCCCATAATTTATTGTGCTATTACGGATATCAAAACCTCCGGCCTTTCCGTAATTTTTGTAGAATTTTTCAGCGTCTTCTAAATTGTCGAAAGTCATTCCTAGTTTTGGTTTTAAGTGTTCATCAACAATTGGCACAACTAAGTTATCTAACTGAGATATTTGTTCATCAACAACATGGGAGCAACCATCTTCAGTTTCCATTGGATCAGACATGAAGAACAAACGTCAAGAATAATTTTTACCTACAAAACTAAACATCAACAACAAACAGTTATTCAAAAATCCAATTTTACAGCAACAATGAAACAGCGAACGAGATTTTCAACAGCAACAATGAAACAATGAAACAACAGTTATTCAAAAATAATTTTATAGCTATTCAAAGATCCAGTAAATAGCTATAAATCAAAGTCCCTAAAACAAATAAAGGATCTGAACATCAAAATTTCAAAAACAACGAAATTTCAACAGCCTGCTGATGCTTCTATTTCTCTCTCCTATATATTTCAAAATTTCCCTAAAACATCAAAATTTCAACATCAAAAAGCCCTAAACCAAGCAAAAAATCAAAAACGCACCTAGGAGGATCGGAACCGGAGTTGGGGGCGGGGTCGGGGTCGGAACCGGAGCTGGGGTCGGGGTGTTCGCTGCCGTCGGGGTGTTCGCTGGGGTCGGCGTCGGAACCGGAGCTGCCGTAGGTGTTCGCTTACCGGGTCGGGGGCGGAACGCGAGCTGGGGTCGGGGTCCTGGGACGGGATGGTCACGGAACGAGAAGAGGTAGAGGGAGGAGGCGGTCCTTCGACGGTCTTGGGAGCGGGAGGAGGGGGAGGAGGCGACAGAATGGGGAGAGAGAGGGAGGAGGTGGCAGAATGGGGAGAGAGAGGGAGGATTGTTTGGGGGCAGAGAGCATGGGGCTGTAGAGTACATTGGGAATAGGGTTTTAATGACCCTCCATTCGTTAAATCAAATGGCTGAGAATTCTTTTTCGCACGTTAGTGTGCGAAATCTTTTCGCGATCCAAAAATTCCTCTATATATATATATGTATATATATATATATATATATATATATATATGAGAAATATGGAGAACCTTGGTACCAAGTTGCTTAAAACAACTTGGTAGTGATGTGGCCTAATCTTGACCCTACATCACACCTCGAAGATAGAGCCTCAACCACCATTCACGAACTCCTATGTAGATGTAGGATCAAGATCAGGCCACATCACTACCAAGTTGCTTGAAGCAACTTGGTACCAAGTTTCTCCATTTTTCTCTCTCTCTCTATATATATACATAAATGTTTTTGGGTTTTTATGTTTATAAATATGAGATTACATATTTGTGTTTTAGAAAATATTGCATAGAAATGCATATTTGTGAAAATATTATGTTTCTAGTTTATAGAATTCATAACAACTTTTTATATCTTTTATTAAATCTATAATAACATTTGAAAATATTTCAAAGTTGTGTTTATGTCAAAACATCAAATTTCATGTATATCAACTTTTCATGTTTTGAACATACTTACAAAATACATGAGTTTTCACAATTGGGAAATGCAACTTGAAAAATTTCTTTGTTTACATGCTTATATTCATATATAAAAACATTTTCCCAAGTTTTACTAATTTTGGAGTTGTTTTGTTATTTTCAATTGAATTTACAAAACTGAGTTTTCAGCAGTTTTTCAGAAACTGTTTATCTATGTTCAAACATTTATTTCTCTCAACTGGGAAGTAAATTTTTAGAAATTCTTTCTCTGACATGCTCATATACATGTCTAGAATATTAACTTTAAATTTCATGATTTTTGGAGTTTATTTAATATTTATAATTGATTTTACAAAGTGAGATATGCAAAATTCCAGAACTGTCAAAAACTGGAAACTGCCTGTGCATGTTTGCTACAGTGCGGTCAACCGCCACGGTCGACCGTGCTACAGTGCGGTCAACCATACGTAGTCCAGAGAGCAGTTTTTGAGTTTTTCTTCTCCCGGTCGATCACGACGGTCGACCGCCAATGTTACCGTTGCACAGTAACGGTAACTTGTTGATTTTTGTCTTTTAGTGGTTTTTTGGGATTGTTTTCTTCTACACTATATATACCCTATTGTATTTATCATTTCATAGACAATGAGAGAGTTTTAAACAAGTTTAAGAGGGTTTTATAGTTTGTTTTAAGTTTGGGGTTTGTGTTTACGAAGGAGGAAGCTTATGTTGTCAATTGAGGGATTCATCATCAATCTTTTTCATCCTCTCCTTTGTGTTTATAGAGAAGTTTTCTAAACTCTTATCTAGATTTACATTTGCTTAGTTATTTGATTATCATTCGTTAAAGCTAGTTTTTATATTGAGTTTAGATTTGATTTTATTTCACTCATTGCTTACACACACCCACATGAGCTTATTGTATTTTCATACATAGTATATTTGGGTTGGTGAGAGTTGTAACAATTGAGTGTGAGATTTTATTATGTTCTCATCCATATTAGAGAACAAACAATTGTTGTAATTGTGTTTTAGTGTGAGGAGTGAACGTTGATCGGTGAGCGTTGAAAACCGACACTGTGAGTGATTGTGAACGTTGATCAGTGAACGTTAAAAACCGACATTGTGAGGTGTAAACGTTATTCGGGTGAGCGTAGAAAACCCGATTGTGATAGTGAATTTCTCTCCGGGAGTGGGGAGCGGAGACGTAGGACGGAAGGTCCGAACTCCGTGATCATTTGCTTATGTTTGAGTTTTCTTTGGCGTTTCATTTGTGCTTAGTGTTCATTACATTCTTGTCGCCATCGTAAATTTCCCTATCACATTTGTAGATTGTTTATTTCACCATTGTGTTAGTTTATATATCATTCTTATAACATATTGTATATCTATCTTGCAAGAAGAATAGTTTGTTATTAATTTTTAATTAGCATAAAATCGGATTAGATTAGCATAAGACCCTAATCACCCCCCTCTAGGATCTAATAATTGGTATCAGAGCTTGGTGCTCTTTGATTTAAGGTCTAATCACCTTGAGTTAAAGATTCAAGTTATCTTTTTGTGCTAATCCAATTTTTGATTTTTTATATCTTGCTTGCTTTTTACATTATGGATATGCATGGTTTAGGTTATGCTATTAATACTGCTCCTACATTAGATAATTTTCCCTATGCCCAATGGTATGTTAGATTTAAATTTTTTATTCAATCTAAACACTTTGATTTATGGGAAATTATAGATGATGCTTACATTGTGCTCACTTCGGAGAAATCCAAGTGGAATAAAAATAATCATCGAATGTTTATAATGAACAATATTTTGTTAGAATATTTGCTAAATGCTTTTAATTCATCTATGTCTAACAAGTTTGCTCATTTTGATAGTGCTTATACCTTATGGAAATTTATTGAAGCACATCAAGGAGACTTAAAAGCGATCCAACAAGATTTGGCGGATTCGGCTTCAAGTTCATATGGAGCATCATGCACACGACCACTAGGCGATAGCCCTAGTGAGGTTTGCGAGTTCGAATCCATTAATAATTTATCTAGTGATGAACTTGCTTGTTCTAGTAAAAAATTATTGGATGCCTATAACAAATTGCATAAAAATTTTATTGAATTGCAAAGCAAGCATGAAGATTTAAAATCCGATCATGAGAAGTTAGCTTCCAAAGTTGATATCATTTCTCAAGAAAATGTTGCTCTTAAAGAAAACAATGATATGCTAAATTTGGAAAATAATAATTTGAAATTGGATATTGCTATCTTGACTCATGATAAAAATAATATCATGTTAGAAGTAGAGAACATACAAAATGATACTGCTTCCTTTATAAATGACTATTTATGTTTTACTTCTAATAAAAATACATATATGCCTAAAAATGAAGATTTGAATCTTATGAATAATCGCATTTCATCTTTAGATTCAACTTTGAAAATATGCATTGATAATCATAAGAGGCTTATGGATATATGTGCTAAGTCTAAGTCATCATCTACTCATTATGCACACATATATAGCAAAATTTATAAATGCTCTATTTACGGCTGAAAAGGTCATCTAGCTAAATTTTGCTATGATGTACAAAAATCTAAAAATGCTAATACCAATGCTTCTTGTGCATCTTATAAGGCTTCTTCATCACATACACATACTCATCATGTTCATCATAAGCATGCTCATGTGTTTAAATGTGATATTTGTGGTCGTTTTGGTCATTTGGCCAAATATTGTTTTGATTTAAAAAATAAGTCTCATTTGCCAAATATTTCTAGTAGACCACATGTTTATAAATATAATGTTTGTGGTAGATTTAACCACTTAGAAAAGTTTTGTTTTGATAATGTTTCACATTTGCAAAAAGCTTCAAATAATTTACCTTTGTTTGTAAATGTTCCACGTGCACCTTTTAATGCTCAACATAAACAAATGCTTCTTTTCCATTGTACATATTACAATTGAAAGGGTCATTTGCATGATTATTGCTATGACCGATCCCGTGCACTACATACGCCCAAGAGGGTTCATAACCCTAGGGCTTTAAGCTTAAATGATAGGGGTCATGTCCCTAAACCTTTTAGTATCAAGATTACTTGGGTACCAAAACAAATTTAATTTTAAACCAAGAATTTTAGTGTATTTCTTTTTTCTTGGTTTTCAAAATTATGTTTTAAAATCTTTTGGTTATGAAAACAATTTTTCTTTGATCAAATCTTTTGTTTTCATGATTATTAGTTTTGATTTTAAATGAGAGTTTTGTGTTTATATAACCCTCCGGGTTTATTGGGTGTTTATTCCCAAATCTTGTTTACCGGGTGCTAAAAATATTTATATGGGTTGATACTAGCTCAAGAGCTAGATATAGTTGCCTCTCTTAATTTTTGAAAATCAATGATTGTTTGGTTTTATGTTTTTATGGATTTTATTTTATTTATGATTTCACTTAAGTGATTTGTTTTCATTTGAAAACTTTTTGCATGATTCTCATGTTCCTCTTCTTTTATTTTTATAAATCTATTCTTTTATATGGCTTTTATATTTTTTATGTTAATGAGATACTATTTTCATATTGATATATTTATATGTGTGCTCATTGTCTTTTTGTATGTGAGTTGTGTTTAGCATGTTTTTCGCTTGCTCACATATGTATGCCTGATACGGGTGTATCTTCTCTTCGGAAGCTTAGCGATCCTCATGGAAGCT